CTTTCATGTGCAGGAGATTTTTTCATGCGCTTGCATTTTTAGAGCTCACCTTCTTGTTTTAGCCGGCCAACCGGTTGGCACCCGGTTCACAGCGCCCTTGCGCCCCTGCGCTGCGCCCACTCGGACTCCAGCCGCACCAAGGCGCCCGATGCCTGATAACGCGCTGTATTTCTCCGTTTCCTTGAGAACCTATTCGCGGTCTGCAGGGCTTCTGTACGCACGCGCGTTCCCCAGCGGCCCGAGGAGAAGTTGAACACTCTAGATGCAGGAGCAGGGTACTGTCTACCTGATTATTCCACTAATGGTTCCGCGCGAAAGTGTCCCTCCCTTTCCACAATACATCTCGTACGGAAGCCCGGCCGCTCTAATTCGCCCAGGACCTTGAACTATGGCCGCCAAGCAGACCGAGGAGGCCCACACCCGCAATGCACTCCCAGCGAGATCTCGCGCCGCGCACACTGGGCATTAATCAGCCCGGAGAGCCTTTTGTAATTCACACCTAACAAGCAGCAGATTATATCCCTCCCCCCCCCCCTCTCGCAAACTCATCGATCGAAACATGAAGCAGAAAGATACGAGGTTGAGTCGATTGTACCGTCAAATGTCACAGAAAACGTGTCGCGCTTCTCCCATAGAAATTTCTCCTTTCGAATTAGTTTCGTATCTCGTGTCGTGCGGCTCGGCAGCGCATTGGCTGCTGGGGGGGGGGGGGGCGCACGCGTGTCGCCCCTGTCCCGCTCAGGGGGCCGCCCTGGGGCTGGCCCCAAGGACGACGACCCCCGTCCTCGCCACGCTGCCCCGTCCATTGGAACGGCCCCGAACGGTCCAACCGCTTCCCTTTGGGGCTTTCATTGTTGGCTGTATACTAGACGATTGCCGTTAAAAGTTCGTGCCCAATCTGCCCAACTTGATATTTTCGTTTTAGGGAGTAAGTCCAATTTCTTAAAAAATGACTAGAAATCAATTTTGGGGGGAATTCTTAAATTATCCTCAGTTTTTATTCAGCCCTAATAGAAAAACTGATGGCAGCGATTCGGGAATTTTCTTGTATGACTCCAATTGCAAGGGGATCGCACCCCCGAGGTAACGCAAAGAAAAGTTGTACGACAGACGTTCTCTTGCACGCCGCTCCCGCCCTGGGCGCTCTGGGGCTCTGAGCGGGCCGTGGGCTATACACGGCTGCTTGGCGGGGTGGCCTGTGGCCTAACCTGTGCGCGGCAGGCGCAATCATTAGCGTTTGATTCACCCGAAAGTATTCGGCAAAGGGAAGTTGACGGTGTTCGACTCCTCGAACAGATCAGAGGCTGGATGTCAGCAGGACAAGTAAGAAATGAACATGCCCCTCCCCCCCCCCCCCGTGAAAGTTAGTGCGTGAATGTCGCACACACTTTGTTACTGTGAACGCCATTCGTACACATGGAGGCACAAGTGTGTGCATTCCAAAGGAACATCAACACTTTTATTTCTCCCTGAAAAGTACGAATGGGCAGTCACACACCTACAAGTGTGCGTCATTCACACACTTGCGTTCCCAGTG